CACTCTTTCAGGCTTTGCGGTGTTCTGAGCTCCGCAGCCGTGTTCACACCCGTAGCTCTGCGCTGCCTGCCTCCAAGGGGCAGATGCGTGGAAGGAGCATTGTGCTGAGGGTTTTACTGGATTAGGTGTGTTTTGCTGCCCGCGCTGTTTTGGGCAGCGTGTCCAGAACAGGGCAATGAGGCTGGGGAGGGGTCTGGAGAACAAGTCTGACGAGGAGCGGCTGAGGGAGCTGGGGCTGTGTAGTCTGGAGGAGGCTGGGGGGGACCTTCTCACTCTCTGCAGCTCCCTGACAGGAGGGTGGAGTGAGGAGGGGTTGGTCTCTGCTCCCCAGTAACCAGCGACAGCACGAGAGGCGATGGCCTCAAGCTGCATCAGGGGAGGTTCAGATTGGATATTGGGAAAAATTTCTTTACTGAAAGAGTGGTTGGGCGTTGGACCAGGCTGCCCAGGGCAGTGGTGGTGTCACCATCCCTGGAGGGGTTCAAAAAACGTGGATGCAGCACTTCAGGACATGGTTTAGCAGGCATGGGGGTGTTGGGTTGATGATTGGACTTGATGATCTTAGAGGTCTTTTCCAACCTTAATGATTCTATGAGCCAGCCCCGGACTGTTCAGGGCTTTGGACAAAGTAAGTTGGAGCATCTCAGTGTGGAGCCCGTGTCTGCCATCACCGAAAAGCCGGGATGGATTCAGGAGCCTGTGAAGCTCGGGGAGGCTCTTCCTTTGGTTAAATTTAACAGAAGTTGTATCCATTTGCTTAAACCACAATCCCTGGTGCGGAGTCTTTTATCTTCTGTTTAAAAATGGGCTTTTGTTGATCTCGGTGGCCGTGCCAGCATTGCCTGTGTGCTTACCACATGTCCAATGGGTGTTTATCCGAGAGACCGGAGTGAATCTGGGGGATAAGTATGAGACTTAGCTGAGAATTGTCTTGCTTATGCTGGCTAAGGCCTAGATGAAATGGGATTTTAAGTACATGTATCACATTTTATTGGTGCTAGAGAGATGTTTAGCTGGTGAGAACGGCGTTATTTCATGTACCAGCTCAAGGCCTGGCCCAGGAAAGAACCGGAAAAATAATTAAAAACAAACAAACAACAATTTGCTAATCCATGTTTCATTTTTCCTTTAGCCACTTAAATGGTATTCAGTGTTTGAGGGCAACCAGAGGTGGTTTAGCCCCTGTGCATTTCCCCTGATGTGTTGCTGAGAATCGATATATGGACTGGAATAAGAGTGTGGGAGCTGCTGCTCCCGAGGCCGAGCATCACAGCGGCACCGTGTGTCAGCGCGGGCTGCTCTGCAGCTGTGGGCGTACGTGCAGTAAACACCGTGCCACGGAAAGACTCTGCGGATGATGCCACCCGCTGCAACATGCAAAATTTAAAATAAACCCCTGGGCACTTGCTATCGCCCACCGCTTTTTGCAGGAACCGCTTTTTGCAGGAAAACAAAGCCAAGGTCCAAGCGAAACCCTGCAGGCGTGCCGCGTTCCAGCCCGGCTGTCCTGCACGCCTCGCAGCCCGCCGCACCCGCAGCCCGCGTCCGGCTGCTCCTCCTGCCTCCGCTGCAGCCTGCCAGGCACCAGGCTGTTCTGGACACCCGGCGCACGGTGACATGTTACTGGGGGAGGGCTTTGGCTCTGTTGTTTCGGGACCGTCGGATCCCTGCATATCGTGGGGCGCAGCTAGATGCAGAAATACTTTTATTTATCTGAATGTGTTTAATAGATACGTGTATAGGTTTATCACAGACAAATTGTTAGATATCATATGTATATGTAATATATACACTCGTTAGTTTGTACATACAATATAGAGGTTATTTGGGATAGAGATATATAAAAGATAGAAGAACCCAGTAATTGCCTTTAAGATCAGAGCACAAAGCATTACCTTGGATTTTACAAGGCCAGCGAGCAACAAAAGAGCAGTAATTTATGAGCTCAGCGTAAAAGAATAGCATAATTGCATTAAAAATTAATGCTAATGAACACTAAAATGGGGAAGGTGGTTATGATGAAAGTTTGTATTCATCTTCCCTGGTTTGAATGATGGCTAGTGGCTTGATTAATGGCTTAATTTCTATCAATTAGCGGGGAAAAATCTCCTACGAGACAAGGGTAAATTGAGCATTGAATTACATATCTTGCTTTTGCTTGCAGAGAAAAAAAAAAGAGCGGCGTAGCTCGGGTATTAGCCGCAGTGACAAACGCGGCGTGCCCCGCGCTCAGCAACTTCAAGGGTCTGGGGGCCGTTTCCTACCACTCTATCAGCCAATTTTGGCTTTTTCCTTGAATGTTGTCAAAAAATCCCCCGAAATGCCTCAAAACGGGAGCGACCGTAGGAACGGGCACCCGTGTGAGGAGCGCAGCGGTGCAGGTAACCTGCCTGCAGCCAAAATCCAGGTGTGCTTGAATTGCCTAAATTAAACGTTCTTAAATTCAGAACTCCGTTGCGAAAGCTTACTGCCTTGTCTTCAGCTTGATTTTATACCCCGTGTCTCCATTCTTTTTAGAGAAAAAGCTATTAGTGTCCAGACTTGTTTTAAAATACTGTGAAAGCCGGGTTATAATTATAATGTATAAAAATAGCAAATTGTAAGTATTCTACTAGTGTCTCTAGTACGCTCTCTAGTAAGTACTAGCGTACTTACAACACGCTATTTGAATACATTATAATTGTGGTACTAGAGTATTTACAGTTAATTCTGAAGAATGGAAATTAGCAATGAAAACTTTCCCCGGGCACAGTTGCTCGTTTTGGAGCGTGTTTTATTGTTTCTCCAGCTTTGGCTGGAAAAAGTTCTGGCTTTGGATGTCTCGGGAGCAAGGATATAGTGTGGCCAAGTGTGGGAACGGCGCTTTGACACGGCTGTGGGGATCTGGAAACAGCGGAGACATCGCGCAGTTTTCGTAGAATCATAGGTTGGAGAAGACCTCTAAGATCATGAAGTCCAACCATCCGCCCAACACCACCGTGCCATGATCCTGACTTCAAGCTGTTGGAGGGAAGCGGTGGTTTTGCAGTGGGTTTTGGTGGGTTTTGCAGGGGTTTTATTGTCTCCTGTGCAGAGGAGAGATTTGAGGAGGGGAAAAAAAGCCCTAAAAAAGAGCCCTCCAAGTTCTGCAGAGTCTAGAGGTGATGCAAATGAAGTGAATCTCGCCCATCCTGCTGGATTCTCCCTCCTCCTCCTCCTAGTGCTTTCATTTGGTTTAATATAAATAGTTTGGTGCAACGCTCTGTAGAAGACAGTAGGTCTCAAAGCCACGTCGAGTTTTGTCACTTCCGCTGGCAAATTGTCTAGATGGAACCTTCATTTTTCTTTGAATATGTCAGTTTGCATGGCTTAAGCAAAAATAGGATGCAATTAAAAAGCACTGTGCACGTGAAAAGCCACAGTTATGTTGGAAAAGCCTGCAGCTCTGTGAGCAGTTGTTCCTCCATCCAGGCAGTTGTACGTATGCACGTGTTTAAAAATGATACAGTGTCACCTAAGCTAACCCTAAGTAAAATGGGATGGAGGGGAAAATATTTTCCTCTTTAGCTCGTTTATTTAGTCTGGTATCTATTTGTGTTTTCTTCTTCTAATCCTCAACTCATGAACAAAAAGCAGAAAAAACAGCAACGTTTTGTGCACGTGTCTCAAAGCGTATTACTTAAAATGTATTTTAAATGCATTGATTAAATTAACCAGCTATATCCCTTTAAATATAATTAGTAAAATATGAAGAAACATGTGTTCTGAGGAGTATTTTAGGCTTATTGTGTCATTGCTTTGATTCTTAAGTTAGCCCTGCTTGAAAGAAAACTCTTTAGGTAGAGGCGTGGGTTCGTTTTGACGGTCAGGACTGTAGGTTAGCCATGAATCCAGTAAGCTTGACAAATCTACACCTAAAGATTATACAAGAAATACTTAAAGTACGTTTTCATTTAATGGGTCATTCACAAGATATTATCCGTCATTTAATGCTGCTGTTTCAATCTTTGTTCAATTCTTAACGGTATTCATCTTTGTCTTTAAAAATAAGCAAAGAGATGGAAATATTTTATGCTGGGCTTGCAGGCAAGTTACTTTTTCTGTTGTCCGATTCTCTGGTGTTTCTGATTATTGTGTGTGTGAAATTTAGGTGGCATTTCAAGGATTAATCTGGCAGAGGTGTGTGTTTTATTTCTAAAGTGGCATTTCAAAGTGTTGCTAACAGGGACTAATTCTGTCTGAAAACAGCAGCTCCAAGATGTGTGTGTCCGTGTCTGCAGATCTGGTTTTGATGGAAGGTGTAAGACATTGAATCCTCTTGGAAGGACAGCGTTCCCAGTTAAATCCTCTGTCGCTGGGCTCACTGGGGCAAAAATCCGAAGATTTTTAATAAAACGGTGTTCGCTGAATGTTCTCCTACCAGAACCGGTTTGACGCCGAGGGGCATGCACAGCGCTGTTTGTCAGCCCGGGCCGGGGGGCAGCACCCCGGTGACAGCGGTGGTGACCGTGACTGCTGCCAGAATTGCCTCCTCATAGAAAGCGGCCTCAGTAAGCCCTAATACAAGGTTTGGTGTGTTTTTTTCACTCTAACATGGTAGAAAGACTTGCTGGGCAATGAGTTAGTATTGATTTTTTTTTTTTGTCTGTAGCCTCTTAGCTTTCTGACTCCATTATTTTTGATTTTACTATGAAATACATATCCTTTCTACTGACATCTGACAAACAACATATGGAAGTCATTTTATCTACCAATAATGTGTTTGTCAAAAAAATCATACGCTAATGGGCTATGCTTCCTCCAGTCCATTTTCCCCAAGTTAATGTCACTGATGTAATTCTAAACATCTAGTGATTTTTGCCCCCTTCGTACTTTGTCATTCCCATCGGCTTGTGTCAGATTCATGCACGGTGCTGTGACAGGCTGGGAACTGACCCTAGGCTTCGTGAAATGAGAAACGCTTTGAGATCTGCGCTCACCTGCCTTTCTCTGGTACCTGGCTCTAACGCCGTGACTGCCAGGTACGCTTACCGTTGCTTTATTTACCCGCAGACCAGACGTACCCGAGAGCTCGATGGTTCCGGTTTCCTCGCTCTAGCAGGGCATTAGTATATTTGTTGGTGTACTTCCTATGGGATCCTTAGGAAGCCTTTTTTAAAAAAGAAGACTTTAGCAGCGAGGCAACAGAACTTTTAAACGCAAGCTTAAATGTAAGCAAGTGATTTTCCCTGTGAATTCAAAGGAGTCAGGCTGAAAGCCGTCCTTACAGACCTGGCTGCAGCACAGCTCCATCCTAAGCCTTGCCAAAGCCAAAACCATACTGAGGCTTCCCCAAAACCCTTCCCAATTTTTCTGTTCATCGTATCCATAGAGACTAAACAATATCCCCAAATAACTTTTAAGCAACAGGGCGGGTTCTTGTTTGCCGCTCAAAAGTGACGTCTCTTCCTATCTTTGGTCAGGCTTCCCTGGTTCATGAGCGCTGCTCCCAGCGACAGCCGGCGGTGGCTCCCTGGCGCAGAGCGTACCCCGCGTACAGCCAGCGGTACTCAGAAGTAAGGGGAAAATCAGCTGGTTAAAAGTTTAAACGAAAGCATGCTGTTAGCAGAACGAATTCAAGACTTGCCTGGCGCTGCAGTGAGATACAGAAGCGGGCGAGGAAGGTGAACTGGGCTGTGGGTCTGAAGAAGCAGCAAACGAAAGGGACAGCGGAGCACATGCTTCTGTGTCAGACGCACCGCGGTCAGCCAGCCGGAGCACACAGCACTGAAAACCCAGCAGTTCTGCCGTGCGACCTGTCGGTAGAAAATGAGGTCGTTAATTTAGCATGTCCGTTCCAGGAGCGCTTCTGAGCTGCTGTTAGTTTATTTGCTCATCTGAAGCTCCGCTTGTCATTAAGATCTGAAATGAGTTTTCAGCGGTTAGTCATTGCAGAGGGATGTAAGTTACATATCTTTTTTTCTTGTGCAAAAGAGAAAGTATTTTGCAGTGCGCGTGTATATCCACGTGAATTTGGATTTAGAATTTTGTATACGGAGAAAGAATTTGGCACATCCGAATTTCTGAATAATTCTGCAAGCTCTTTTGGTCTGCAGGCACTTTTCCTGATTTTAGATATACTGTGGTGTCTTTAGAACAAGAAATTTAACCTTTTATACATACATATGTATATACTACAAATATATAATTACAACTGGTTTTTTATTTAAATTTGTGGTTTATATAGTGTTTAAATTATTCTTGTGTATTTGTGAAATTTTTGCTCAAACTTCATGGCTACGCTAAGTGGCTTTTTCCTCATCTTTCTGGCGATCTCCTTTTTACTTTGTCGCTCGAGCCCGCGGTTCTGTGACTCCTGAGCTCCCCTCCTTGGGAGCAGCTCCCTCGGCCCCGCAGAAGCGACCTGCCAGGGCATGGCCAGGCATGATGGCACTTTCTTTCAAGCTTTCAAGGAAAACCGAGTTTCTGCCGGTAGCGTTAGCAGCCGGCCGGCCCCCGCGCTCCGGCCAGAGCGGATAGACCAGCTCTGGCATCAAGCCCCCCAGTACAAAACCTTTTGAACAGAAATGTGCGTTTGTACCAACCCGCCCGTGCATGGTGCTGCTGCCGCCACGTGCGAAGCCCGAGTTTCTGAGACGACGTCCTGTTTTGTTGGACCGTGGCAGGAGTGGGAACTTGCACCTTGAGAGTGAGCTGGTTTCGTCCCGTAGCTTTCGGCGAAGGAGTAACGCCCGACCGCGCAAGAGGCACGGCAGAGAGCGAAGTCAGACCGTCCCTTTGGCAACCTGGGTCAACGCAGCTGTAATGCGGAGCTTCACTGTTGTCCATCAGTAGTTTGATTTTTAAAAAGAAGTGTATCTTGCATTATGAATGCTCTTCACTTCCGACCAGTGTGATCTATCCAGGAGATGGTCTGGCTGAGCAGTGAAAGGACGGGCAAAGCCTACCCAACAGCTACGTGCTTAGCAGCCAGGGTTGGCAGGAGCTGCCCCTTTCACCCTAACGTCAGCTGCCTTTGCTGTGTCAAAATAAATAAACTCTCAGCCTGGGAGTCAAAGATATCTTGTGCGATATCTGTGCACTGCAAGACCTCACAGGACGGTGAAGAAGCAATTTAGCTCATTTGATTAAACAGCGGCAATTTTGTCACCTGCGAATCGTATGAGCACACAATATTTAGTGGGTATGGTAGGAATATTTTATTACCAAATGCTAAGATTTTGGTTTTTGGTCAAATTTACCTAACGATGTAACTTTTAATGCCAGATTAATCCCATAGCTTGCCCTGAGAACACAGATGATGGCACATCTCTGAGGACACCCGCAGCAGAAGCCAAATGCTCCTCCGTACAGGCAGAAGGAGTTTTGCTGCTACGTACAGATGGTACTCTGCTGAATAGGCTGCACTGTCCCCAGGTCTTCTTCAGGAAATCCTCCTGCCATAAATCTAGCAGTTATCCCGCAAGGACACCTCTAGCAAATTCTTAGGTTAGCATCTTGAAGGATAGCATACGTTGAACAGTGACAGCCAACTCACTGTTGCTATTTTTACTGAAGGGAAGAGTTTTTCTTTGTAACAGAGTATTTTGGGCTGCATTACAAGTTTTTCTTTCCGGTATGTACTGTTGTAAAATATATTCAAGGCATTGCTTAGACACGGCATTTGTCGTAGGCTTACACTAATGTATCCTGACATTACACCTTCTCTTTGTAGACCAAGCCACCCTAGTAGAGCAAGTGAAACGAGTAAAAGAAATTGAAGCTATTGAAAGTGACTCCTTTGTTCCACAGACCTTCAGATCAAGTAAAGAAGTCAAAAAGGTAAGTTTTCAATGTCCTTTCTTGGTGCATAATCCTTTCAAAGGCAGGTGGAAGCTGCGCTATTAGTACAGTTTCCGCTGATGAAAGAGCATCAGTGTTGACAATCCTAAATCCCACCAATGACTCCCCTGTGTTCTTGGGGTGGTGTTCAAAGAAGAACACATCTAAACGTGTAAGAATTTCAATCAAATCAGCTGTTTTGACAGTATATTCTACCTATGCTGAGCAACTCTGATTTTTAAAAATTCTTTTAAAATCGTATAAAACCATGAAGAATTTTTTTTTAGGAAAAGCAGAAGAGTTAAAATCCAAAAGGAATTAGAAATTTACATTGTAATTAAAGGTAAAGATCAGTATTTTTAATTCTGCTTAACTGAAGCCAGACTTTAAGACCATAGTTACTCCCTGAAACAAAATGGCATTGTCTTCAGACAGCTTTCCAAACACCTAACGTGAGACACCCAGATTTCAGAACGTAACCTGTGTTTTGGCTGCCAAGTCTTCTCAGGAACTGGGACGCTTTGGTCTTTGGAAGTAGGCAAGCAAAGGCTTGTTCAGTTTTTCCATCCGACAGTGAGGTGTTTTGAATTATCACTGCTTGTTTCCCCCAGAACATGCATTCTCTTGCTTTATTAGGAGCGTAGGAGAAGTTCACGCAGCTTCTTCAGAAAGTGATCAAAAACCCTAATGCTGCTGTTTTGCGGGCCCTCTCGTTGCCTTTGGCAATACCTTTTTTTTCATTTCATGGTTTAGTCTGAACCTTGGTCCATATCCACTGTGTTCTGCTAAGCACGCTGAGAAGTATTTGCATGAGGATCCTTTCGTGGGCACATGCTGCAGTGGGAAGAAAGCCGAATGCGCGGTGAAGGTCCTGCCACGTTTGGGAGTTTGAGGGTGAAACACTGAGATGCGTTTCTTTCTTCTTAGTCGATAGAGCCCACTGAGCTACAGTACGAACCGGTAACTGTCGGAGCAGCAACTGTGGATACATCTGCTCCTGAAAAAGAACCACCGCCTGCCAATATTCCTACTGCCATCAAATACCAAGATGATAATTCTTTAGCGCATCCCAATGTAAGTGTGCCGATATTTACGTTCTCTGTAGAACCAGACAGCCGGCTGCGGGAGAGCAGGTTCGTGTGACCTGACCTCCATTTGGCTGCCCTGCTCATCAAACGGTCTGGAGACCGTTAACGAAGGGGCCGCTCATTACACTCCTTGCATCATCCAGCAGAGGATAATTGCAAAAGAAGTTGTTCACTAGTGATGTAGTTTTAGAGTTACGAACAAACTTTATAACAAAAGTAGCACGCTGATTTAATGCGGGGGAATTTAAGATCCTGTTCACATCCATCAAAATGCGAGAAAAATTGTTTTTGGTTTATGTAGTTGGAAGCTTGGTGGAAGATTCAGCACTCGCCCACCTTGCCACATCGTAAAGCTTTAAATGCCTGACAAACTTAAGATCATTTTCAACATTGTGGCTAAACTTAGTCAGGTTCCTTTGTGAGCTCTTGTAATTGGAAATAGGAGTACTTACAGTAGGTTTTTTTTAAGAATTAGCAAGTTAAAAATGACTTGCAGTAAATCAACTAATGCGAGTTCTATATAACGAACATAGCTAACAAAGATCAAGCCCTGTACAATACGACAAACTTGCTGTTTCAGGAGGGGACTGAAGTTGGAATGTCTTGGCTTTCCGATTATGAAAAGTGTCTACCTTTACGCATGTATTTACATCACCTTTGGATTTTAACAGCCCTACGCAGCTGGGCTTTTTCTTTGGGCACTGAAATAGTTGTATTTCAATGGATTATGACAAATAAAGAGAAAGTTAATGCGTTGTGCCTACTTTTCTTCCTCTCCCCCTTGTCCCTCAGCTGTTCATCGAGAAGGCGGAAGCAGAAGAGAAGTGGTTTCAGAGGCTGGTTGCTCTTCGGCAGGAAAGGCTGATGGGCAGTCCGGTGGCCTGAGCGAACTGTGGTGACCACCACGTACCAGTTCTCCACGAATGCTAAGAAATCCTGCCATGAAATTGTTTGATTTTTCTCTTTGGAGGGGATTTTAATACTCAGTATGAGTTGTACAGAGAAGAGGTATTTCACCTGAATAAAGAAGAATGTTCTATCCTCTGTTTTTCTCCCCGAACACATTGCTGGGTGACGTATCGCTGAGCTACCCGCCGTAGAAGGGAAGGCTATCAGAGCAGTGTAATTTTCTTTTTTTGTACTGAATTCCTGTGGGGTGCAAAAAAACCCTGACAGCCCAAGGAGACATAATTTTATACCTCCCAATCAAAAAAAAAAAAATATAACCGTGTAGCAGTTTAAAGATAAATGAAAAAATAAGACTGTCAAAGAAAGTTCTGATTTACCAGCGCTCAGACAGTAGGAGTACAAGCGAGACCGCCCTGAGCCATTACATCTTCTGCAGCTGGAGGAGGATTCGGGGAAAATGCTATCGCTGTTATCTCTTCTTCCTTCCGTTCCGTGCTGCGGGAGCAGCTTTTGAATCCCAAACATCTGTGGGCAGTCTCCTTGCTGAGGGGCCCTTCTAAATTGATGCGTTCATCCGCCTGCTCCTGAGCCCGGTTCTTTGCTTCTGGTGGGCTGGAGCGGAAAGAAATGTTTTACATTTCCTTGAACATTTCCCCGCTACCGTTAGCATCCGGGAGTAGATGTAAGGAGAAAGTTATGTTATCCTTTTAAACAAACGTGTAATGTTTTCAGCAGGTTTCAAGAAAGATTGTTTTTTGAGCAATTCTAAGCACATTAAAATGTTCAGAAATCTGGAAAAGACAGCTTTCTATGAACTCTTAATGGGCAATGATTTAAATACCATTGTGTGTCATGGTACAGACCTTTGTCGAACAAGAGTAACGGCACACCTATTTCTGTACAGGGCGACTGTTTTCAGTCTATGAAGCTTCCGTTTGCCCAGGTGCGATTTTAAAATAATGAAAAATTAGTCCTATTTGAACGCAACAAATTTAGCCTGAGTATACTTACAAAAAAAAAAAAATCTGTCCATCATCCACCTAAATGCCAGAGATCAATCGAATAAAATACAAAACTGTTCCTTCTGAGGTATCTAGCAAATCTGTGAGAAAACTTAAAAACTGTTACATCAGGAGAAGACTAAGCTGGGCGCTCCACCTGTGGACATGCCTCCTTGGCAATTACCCGCACCAGCTTTCTGGGGAGAGGGAAAAAATTCAGGTAGTGTTACTCTTCCTCGCTCTCAGCTCTGTGATGAAAATAAAAAAATGGAGGATGATTCTGGAAATGTGCTTTGGTTGTCTTTTTTTTTTCTTTAGATCACTGATGTAAAAGGAAAATGTATTCAGTTTGCCTTCTAACACATCTCTGTTTTTTCTTTATGAGCAGCATTAGTTTTGCTTGGCCCTGCATTAGATGGCTAGCTGTGTTTCCAGACTACCTTGTCCGCAACAAAAAGTGGAAAAACAAATTGCTTCCCTTGTTTCCTTTCAGCATTTTCAAATGGTAAATATTTGTCGTTGTTCTGTCTTGTGATCTCCTTGGGTGTTTCACAGTAAATAAAAACTATTTGATCTCCATGTAAGGTACAGGTGTAAATTTCTCTTTTTCATGCATGATGTTGGATAATTTTGGTATTTTTATTGGATGCAAAATGTTCTTTTTATGTAATTCACAACCCTATAGGATATTAAATTCTACAAACCAGTCTGGTTTAAGTAAGTAAGATTTAGTGGTAGTAACAGGGTGTACTTACTGTTGCTTATCAATCCATAACTACATTTGTCCAGCAAGTCCATGCCAGAGAAGAATTGTGAGCAAGATCTGGAAAGAAAATGGAAATAGCATTTCAATAATCTGAATCGAATAGAAATACGTACCGAATATGCCAAATATAATTTGAAACACAGAGCAAATCATTATAAAGTTGATCTTTAGTTCCAGTTGCATATTCATGATCAGAATAACCAGGAAATAAATACTCAGAACTCTCTGGTTCTCATGAAATACGTTAACTTATTTATTGCCCCATATGGAGACAGTTCATTTAAAAAGAGGGGGGGGTTCTGGTTTAGGCCCTATATGAAGTTATTTGTGTCAGGAGATGCAGGAATTGTCAGGATGGAGTTTTCACCTGGATACCATCTGTTACAAATGAGACGACGTACTGTCCGTGGTGTTACAAACCTGCAGCTTCCTAGAGATGCCCAAAGCAAGTCAGCGATGCTCCAGCACGTGTCCTGGAGACGAGAGCTCACGTGGAGCTGACTTAGCAATGCCGCATGTTGGGTCTTACAAGTGAGTTCTGATCTTACTGTGGATCCCTTGCGGGCTACGGCTCAGCTGACTATTCCAAACACTGGTCATTTTGCAAGACCGGCTTGCAGGGAGGCTCAGTGCTTTGCAAGGCTTAGCCCTGTCGAAGGGGTGCTGGGTCAGCAGTCCAACAGCTTAAGCCTTCAGCAAAATTCAACGCTGTTCCACCGCGTTTGCTCCTGCAGAGTACAGTAAAGGTTGTGTAAGGCCAGGCATAGGGTTGTGAGAGTAAATGTTTAGGCTGCAGCACTCTTGATTCAAGTTGTGTAAACTGTTTTGCTTTTACTTGAATAGCATCCTGTGATCAATTATTCATTTTCCTGTCAAAGGTAGGCAGATATTCGAATATCAGAAATGCAATATGGAAGAAGGCAGCAACATCAGATATAAACTTCACTCTGCAACCAGCTATACACAACTAAGGAGAATTTTGACAAACTTACTGCTTGAAATTATTTTACAAGACTTGGACACATTATAGATGGATTGTATCCAAACACAGGTGCATGCCACCGTTCCACGTGTGGGGCCTTTTTGCTTGGGGAAGAGACAGAATGTGTTACCTAATCAGCCAGATACAAATTTAATGAACTATGTCATAACACGGACATGAAACTCATATCAATATGTACAAAGTAATCACCATTAACCTGGGAAGATGCACTGCTGACTCAGCCCACGCTTCTCCTGATCCAGAAAACAGGGACACCTTCCGACAGTAGTTATTTCACAGAAACACAGAAACTTCTCCTGCTTTCTTAGTTTCTTTGCTTCTGAGGTCTTCTGATGTTCGTACATTCAGCATTTAGGACTCTTGCCCATGGATGGTTTATTTTTTGGTTGTATTTTCCACTTTGTTCCATGCTCCTGGTGAAAATGAATGGATTCCTGACAAAGGAAGCGAAAGAAACGCCCGTTTGCTGGTTATCCAACTGAAACATGGGAGCACGCGGCGTGTTGTGCAGCCTGGAGGCAGCAGGGGCACAGCTTTGTCACTCGGCACACGCGACGGGGGCTCTGATACAATCCACTCTGACCCAAAGTTCCTCCTAATGCCAAACTACCTTAAATCTGGCTCGGAGGAGCGTTGCATAGGAGCGAAAAGATAATGCTGTAACTCGAGCCATTCCGACTTCTGGGAGTCAGCAAAGACCTCTACCCCTAGAAATTACATTAGCAAACTCATTTCACTTAGCCTGCCGAACAGCCACCGCCAATTAAAATCAAACCAGGCTGATTCTGATTTGATAACTTTTAGATAAAATGTTCACTAGCCCTTTCGGATTTCTTGAGTCATCCAGCCTCTCCACAACTATTTTTTATTATGATAATTACTTGAAAAGGAGCTGTGTTTAGTTTTGAAATTATGATTATTGTTACAACATTTTAGAAAGATTTTTGTGACTAAAATAACAGTGTCTAAGAAAACGCTGCCAGCCAGGAGATCAAATTCTGCTCCTTCTGCTTCAGTCGCTCTGATGTGAGCAGGACTGGATGATCCCGAAGGCCGTTTTTCCATCAGTAACCCAAAACCAACGTTCTTGATGATTACAGTTTTCCATTTGTCGGGTTACAAGAAGCAAGTTATTTTTAGTGGAGATCCTTGGACTCCAGAAACCTATTTCAGGAGAGAGCAGCTTGAACCCATGACTTAATCCACATATGACACAGGGCTGCGGCGAGTCTTCAGCTTGCAGCAGTAATAAAAAGCAATGCTAGAAGCATTATTACTCCAGAATTTAAAATCTTCACTGTTTGTGATTTTGACTTGGTGCAGGACTGCCTGATTTCGTTTTTCCTGAGCGTTACCTCCCCTCCTTGTCTCCCTCCTTTGCTAAGACCTAGGAAAAAAAGAGCAGCAGCGGCTGAGCTGGATTATGTGACGTTGGGGAGCAAGACTTAGACACTGAGTCACTTTGGAATTGCCGCTCCGGGGTGAGATGTGACACGATGCGTCTGCTCTTTCTGGAAGGAAGCAGGAGTTGAAGCAGGGCCCGGCGAGGGGAGGAGGGAGCTCAGGGCTAGCACCAGCGCCGAGCTGCGCTTCACTTCCACCCGGGCTCCCACCGTCAAGGTGGGCGCCTCGTCAGCTGGGAATGGTTATGCCACGATTTAAGCCCAGGGGAAAGTGAAAATCGCTACTTGGCTCTCGTTTTGCGTCTTCAGAAGCACAATATGGACTAGGGCTGCACGGCTGCAGGGATAGTAAAGAGATGAGAAGCCTTTTGGCCCTTGGGCATCATTTTTGCACGCTCTGTTTTGAGCAGGCTGTAGTTTAAAAGGTGTCGTCTCAGCTGAGCTGCCACTGTAAAAATCTCATTCCCACTAGATGTCTCTGCCGTCCCAGAGCAGTTGTCGCGCTGAACCTCGGTGCCGCCTAGAAAGGCCATACAGATGAGACGCACGTAAACCCAATTTGCTGTATTACCTCCGAACCAGAGCTGGAGGGAACGAGACAGAGCAGTTTGTCTCGTAGTTTGCTGGGGCCTTACATCTTTTCAAATAAAAAACACCACTGCAAAAAGGTAAGCTCCAAATTGTTACTGTCTGCGTGGCGCAGTCGCTGGGGGAGTTTATAGGATGGAGAAGCGGACCCTCGTCCTCTCTCGTTGGCAAAGCCAGCCGCCCGGGGCTCACCAGCACGGCCGGTTCTGGAGCTGCCCTGCCGGGGATGGCAGAGGGCCGGGCACCTTCCTCCGGGCACTGCCAGGCTCCGCGTCTCTGGAGTCAGTGGCTGGATTCCCATCTTACAGCTCTGAAAGGAAGGCATGAACAAATCTCATTATTTATTATTACTGG